TTGCTCCAGCACCCCCCCCCCCCCCCCATATACCAGCTATCACTAACTCCCGATGACCTGTAACCTGAGACAAGACTCAGCCCATATATTTATCACATACTAATTCATATGTCCATAATCTAGCGCATATTCTTTGCACTGTTTCCCCTCACCCTCTCCCTCGCTCTCTCCCTCACCCTCACCTTCGCCCTCACCTTCTCCTCTCCCTCTCCCTCTCCCTCACCCTCTCCCTCACCCTCTCCCTCGCTCTCTCCCTCGCTCTCTCCCTCACCCTCATCCTCACCCTCTCCCTCTCCCTCACCCTCTCCCTCGCTCTCACCCTCACCCTCACCCTCTCCCTCTCTCTCCCTCACCCTCTCCCTCGCTCTCACCCTCTCCCTCGCCCTCTCCCTCACCCTCACCCTCACCCTCACCCTCACCCTCACCCTCACCCCCTCCCTCTCCCTCACCCTCTCCCTCACCCTCTCCCTCGCTCTCTCCCTCACCCTCACCCTCACCCCCTCCCTCTCCCTCACCCCCTCCCTCTCCCTCTCCCTCACCCTCTCCCTCGCTCTCTCCCTCACCCTCACCCTCACCCCCTCCCTCTCCCTCATCCTCTCCCTCACCCTCTCCTTCGCTCTCTCCCTCACCCTCACCCTCACCCTCACCCCCTCCCTCTCCCTCATCCTCTCCCTCACCCTCACCCTCTCCCTCGCTCTCTCCCTCGCTCTCTCCCTCACCCTCACCCTCTCCCTCACCCTCTCCCTCACCCTCTCCCTCACCCTCACCCTCACCCTCACCCTCACCCTTACACAATACCGTCGTCCTCTCTCGAAGGTGCACCTCGACTACCCTTCACCCTTCACTGCTCCTCCTATGGGGCTTCCTTTGTCCACCTGGCATTGTCCATGGCGCGGGCACTCGCCTCCTCTTCCCCTTCAGTGCCTCTAAATCAATCACTTTGCCATCATCATTCCCTTCGCTACTTTGGGTCATTGTCTTCTTTTTTTTATTATTTTTTCTTTTTTCACTTTTTTCATTTCTTAAATTTTGTGGGAGAGATATTTTTGTTTTCGTTTTTTTTTTTTTTTTTTTGGGGGGGGGGGTCTTTTTTTTAGTTGCTCATCGCTGGTTTTCTTTGGATGACTATTATTAGCCTTTTTATTATTTTTTTTAATTACTATATCCTTCTCCTCCTCTTTCTTCTCCTCCTCCTCCTTATCCCTCTCCTCCTCCTCCTCCTCCTCCTCATCATCATCATCATCATCATTATAATCTCTCTCTCTCTCTCTCTCTCTCTCTCTCTCTCTCTCTCTCTCTCTCTCTCTCTCTCTCTCTCTCTCTCTCTCTCACGCTCTCTCCCTGTATTTCTTCACGATCTGTACGTTCCAGCCTCAAATATATTAATAGCTCCTAATACTTTTCCTCTCCCTCTTCTCTCTCTCTCTCTCTCTCTCTCTCTCTCTCTCTCTCTCTCTCTCTCTCTCTCTCTCTCTCTCTCTCTCTCTCTCTCTCTCTCTCTCTCTCTCTCTATCTATCTATCTCTATCTCTCTTTTTCATTCATCTTCTCCTTCTCCAACTTCTTCCTTTCCCTTCCCTTTCCTCTTGCCCCTCTCTCTTTCTCCTCCTCCTTCATTTTTTTCCTCTTCCTTGTCCCTTTCCTTCTTCTCTCTCTCCCTCTCCCTTCTCCTTCTTCCTTCTCTGTCTCTCCTTACTCCTTCTTAATCTCTCTCCTCCTTCTCATTTTCCTTTCACCTTTACTTTTCATTCTTCTCCCTCCTCCTTTCTCTCATTCCTTTCCTTCCTCCTCCTTTCCGTCTTTCCTCCTCCTCCCTTTCGCTCTCCTTCCTCCTTCTCCCTCCTTTCTCTTCTTTCTCTCTGCTCCTCCTTTCTCCCTCCTCCCTCCTTCCTCCTCCTTCCTCTCCTCCTTCTCCCTCCTCTTCTTCGCTCTTCCTTCCCCCGCTCTTCCTTTTCCTCATCTTTCTTCTCTCCTTTCCCTTCCTCTCCTTCTCCTTCTCCTCTCCTTCCTTCCTATCCTCCCCTCCTCATCTTTCCTCCCCCCCCTTTCCCCCCTCCTTCCTCCTTCTTCTTCTCTCCTTTCCTTTCCTCTTCCTTCTCCCTATCCTTCCTTCCTATCCTCCTCTCCTCGTCTCCCCCCCCCCCTTTTCCTCCTCCTCCTTCCTCCTCCTTCTCTCCTTTCCTTTCCTCTTCCTTCTCCCAATCGTTCCTTCCTTTCCTCCCCTCTTTGTCCCTCCCCCCCTTTTTCCCCCTCCTCCTTCCTCCTCCTTCTTCTCTCCTTTCTTCGTTTCCCTCTTTCCTCTCCTTCCTCCTCCTCCCTCTTTCTTCCTCTCTCTTTCACCCTTGCAATGAGCGGTTCTAAGCCTCAGTGATGTCACTAAACCTCGTTGTAAGGAATGATCGATGAAGGAGACCACAGCCGTCTTCTCTGCCTGCTATATTTTTCCTCTCTTCTCCTCCTCCTATTTTCTTATATTTTGTTCTTCTATTTTTCCTCCCTTTTATGTTTTTTTGTTATTTGTTTGTTTGTTATTGTGATAAGATACTGTGATATATTCCTGTTCATTATTTTTTTAATCCATTTCATACCTGTATTTTAATCGTTGTGATACTCATTATTATTCCAGTGTTAATTATAATCATCATTAATCGTTATTATCTAACCTCACAAGATATCATCATCATCACCATAATAACTAACCTATTTCACCATATTTCCCTCACTTTCGCTCAGTTCACCCAACATTTGAAATGCTTAGTACTTAGTACCAATTTAATACCATTAAATATGTACTCTAAAGTAAATGAGTGTGTACTCTATACTTACATCGCGCATATGACCATCAAGTTCTACATATGTATATTTGTTCAGCGTCATGTTCCGTCAACAGACACTTGTACATATATGTGAATACGACCCGTGACTCACTTCTGCAACCTGCATAACCCATGCTTGTGTATATTTAAAGGCACGTGATTCATCTAAGATATTGAAATTGCAGTCCATGTAGACTACGAAAGTAAGGACCTTCATGTCGTAAATTTTGTAAACGAAGGTTATTCATTTACACCTGAATTTACAACACCGGCCAAGTATGTTCAAGGTTTTTTTTTAGGTGATTTACACAATCCTCATAAGGGGTCGTACGTATAAGACAGGTTTTCCCTATGTTGACCAAAGCAGGTTGGGCACAGGTTTGCGACCGAAGAGGCGGTGAAGGAAGGGGGAATATAAAACCCGGAGAGAGAGAGAGAGAGAGAGAGAGAGAGAGAGAGAGGGGGGGGAGAGGAGAGAGAGAGAGAGAGAGAGAGAGAGAGAGGGGGGGGGGGAGGAGAGAGAGGCGAGAGAGAGCGAGAGAGAGAGAGAGAGAGGGAGAGAGAGAGAGAGAGAGAGAGAGAGAGAGAGAGAGAGAGAGAGAGAGAGAGAGAGAGAGAGAGAGAGAGAGAGAGAGGAGGAGAGGAGGAGGAGGAGGGAGGGAGGGAGGGATGGAGGGAAGGGAGGGAGGGAGGGAGGAAGGGAGGGAGGGAGGGAGGGAGAGAGAGCCCCCCCCCCCCTGTCAGCACACTAGAAAGACGGATCGATACAAGAATGTAAGCAAATGAATAGTCATGCACACACACACACACACACACGCATTCAAACCGCAGCCAAAAAGAAGCATGAAAAAAGGAAAGGAAATGTTAAAGCTAAGCGAACGCGAGGAAGAGAAAAATATGCAGTTCAGAGTCAACACAGATGACAGAGTTCTCGTATCTGGAACATTACGATCAAAGAGGAGTCATTCGCTCCGCTGCTCATTAAAGAAGGAATTAGCGCGCGCGCGCCTGTGTGTGTGTGTGGGCGTGTTTGGCTGTGATTCATGCACGTACTCACACACACTAACTCACACACACACATACACACACGCACACGCATATATTTGTATATATATATATATATATATATACATATATATATATATATATATATTATATATATACATATATATATATATATATATATATATATATATATATATATATATATATTTATTTATTTATTTATATATATACATATATATATATATATATATATATATATATATATATATATATATATATATATCAGTGTGTGTGTGTGTGTGTGTGTGTGTATGTGTGTGTGTGTGTGTGTGTGTGTGTGTGTGTGTGTGTGTGTGTGTGTGTGTGTGTGTGTGTGTGTGTGTGTGTGTGTGTGTGTGTGTGTGTGTATGTATGTATGTATGTATGTATGTATGTATGTAAATGTAAATAGAAAGACTGATAGATGAATCGATAGATAGATAAATAAAAAAAAAAAAAAAATATTTAGAGAGAAGTTAGGGAGAGAGAGAGAGGCGGAGGGAACATGAGCGAATATGTCTGCATATAACAGAACATAAAATCATCCAAACGAACATATATGCATATATACTGACGCACGCTCACCCATGCTCGTACTCACATAAAATCTAACAGACATCGAACTGAAATCTAAAATCGATAACACTCAGTCGGGAACGAACCGAGAATTAAGCGTTAAGAGTGGTCGCCTGTGGACGTAATGTGTGTGTGTGGGTGTGGGTGTGTGGGGTGGGTGGGTGTGGGGGGGGGGTTGTGTTTGTGCGTGCGTGTGTGTGTGTGTGAGGGGGAGTTGAGTGTGTGTGGGGTGAGGGGGTTGAGTGTGTGTGTGTGTGTGTGTGTGTGTGTGTCTGTGTGTGTGTGTGTGTGTGTGTGTGTGTGTGTGTGTGTGTGTGTGTGTGTGTGTGTGTGTGTGTGTGTGTGTGTGTGTGTGTGTGTGTGTATGTGTGTGTGTGTATGTGTATGTGTATGTCTATGTGTAAGTATGTAAGTATGTAAATATGTGTGTTTCCCCGTATGCATGCGTTGTATATATGTACCGTATATCCATATTGCCGTAAGTACCTTCAAAAAACAACCCCAAGAAAAGCAAGCATAACTTTAGCAGTCATCTAGCGCCCCACGCACATGCACGCACACTTACCGACTTGTCTCCCAGCTGTCGCACTGTGCAGGGCAGCGTGGCCTCATCCCCAAGGTGGGCTGTGAGATTACGGGGGGCGAGGGGGTCAAAATATGGGCCCGTGTACAACCCCGTTATGCTGGCCTCGGGGTCGTAGGCTGTGGCGCTGCACACTGCAAGGAAAAATCACAAGTTAGGAAATGTTGCTATTATTGCTCATTATGTTACATAGGGTATTTTTACTATGTAGACTATCTTTTTTTTAGACTATTTTTTGTTGTGATTATAAAGAAGATTGTTTCTGCTATCTCTTGTGCGTTGCTGTTTTTGCTATGGCGTTGTTTGTTTGTGTGTGTGTGTGTGTGTGTGAGTGTGTGTGTGTGTGTGTGTGTGTGTGTGTGTGTGTGTGTGTGTGTGTGTGTGTGTGAGTGTGTGTGTGTGTGTGTGTGTGTGTGTGTGTGTGTGTGTGTGTGTGTGTGTGTGTGTGTGTGTGTGTGTGTGTGTGTGTGTGTGTGTGTGTTTGCGTGCAAGAGCGCGTTTGTGCACGCTCAACTGTGCTCTGTAACCTTTCAAAACAGCAAACATAAATGCGCACGTCACAGCACGTACCTGTCTATGAAAAAAAAGCCACATATAAACCCAACATATCACCTTTACTTCACTCTTTTGCTATCCAGGGCTTTAACTCACACACCGATTCAAGTTTCGGGCGTTCAACCGCATGGCATTCATGGCAACCCTTGCAACCCCACGACATATACACTTAACATTTACTCCCGCGGGGGTTTAGAGGGAGAACACCCCCACCCCCACCCCCACAGCCCGACCTCCGCCTCATTCCTTATCGCTCCCCGCTGGATGTTAAGTGTTTCCTTGTGTCGCCTGTGCAAATGGCAATACATTAACGTTTATGATTATGCTGAGAAAAAGGCTTGAGCGAAGAGCGTGGCGCCTTTTAAGAGGGAGAGAAAGAGCCTCGCAAAAGTTTATTGAGTGAAGCGTGGATGGTTTGAAGGACAGTTGGTTTCTGTCATACTACATAAACTGTCAACACCCGATCTCCCACTGCCGGTCGGGGCCGAGGGAGGCACTTGAAATAAGGGGAGGAGAAGATATGGTGACAATGGGACGTTGGGTCTCATGAGGCGTGACAGTTTCGTGAATATACTCTTTGAATGAGTGGATGTATTCGTAAGTATACATACATACATACATACATACATATATGCATATATATACATATATATACATTTACACATTTATACATTTATATAAATATATATGTATATATATTTATATTTGAATATATATATATATATATATATATATATATATATATATATATATATATATATTGTGCACAAAAATATATATTCACGCATAATGTACGCCCTGAATATACAAAAAACCGCCATGAGCAAGTGCCACCGGTGCCACCGCCGGCTCGAGCGCGACCCCAACGTCCCCTGTGACACCGCCCGCCTCGGATACTCGCTGTGACGGTTCGCCGGCGTCTGATTTGCGTCTCCCAAGAAACCCAAAATTCAAGAAATCGTCTAATTGGATCTTTCGCTCATCAACAACCCGGCGCGTGCCAGAGGGGAGAGGGATTCTAAAGAGATACCGCGTGGAAGGCGCCGAGAGAGAGAGAGAGAGAGAGAGAGAGAGAGAGAGAGAGAGAGAGAGAGAGAGAGAGAGAGAGAGAGAGAGTAGAGAGAGAGAGAGAGAGAGAGTTAGAGAGAGAAGAGAGAGAGAGAGAGAGAGAGAGAGAGAGAGAGAGAGAGAGAGAGAGAGAGAGAGAGAGAGAGAGAGAGAGAGAGAGAGAGAGAGGGGGGGGGGGAGAAGGAGAGGGGAGGGGGAAAGGATGAAGGAGAAGGGAGGGGGGGAAAGGAGAAGCCAGGGAGGGGAGGGGGGTGGGGGGAGAAGGAAGCACGACTCAGAAAGGACGCTGCGAAACGTTTGAAGTTGCAGAGCTCTAATATCGGGACGGCTGCACACACTGGATACCCCATCGACCGGAAAAATGCAGACTGTTGTTTGCGGAGATGGTGTTTCATCGACTGGAAGAAATAAAGATCTCATGACTGGAGGCTCTCAGTGCCAGACCCAAGATCTCAAACACTGTCCGAGAACTTTCAGAATCTACAGGTCGGAAGAGCAAAAGATATATGATATTTCTCCTGGGCGACGCAGATATCCATCACCTTGAAAAAGCGTCACGTCTCAGCAGCGAAAAGAAATAAAAACTCCCGTGCTTCGAAGATGAAACAAAGATGAACTCGGAGGGATCAAGGAGAGAAAAGAAATAAAAGGTTAAGTGAGAGATATAAAAATAACAAGACATGGAGAAGAAGAAAAGATTCGGCTCAAAAGACTTAGACGACACGAAGCGCTCGGATTTAGACCAAAAAATGATAAATGAATAAATAAAAAAAAAAAGAAAAAAGAAAAAAATCAATGAACACAAAAGGGGAACACAAATCTGAAGACCAAAGCAACATCAGTATCTCGTAAGGGTGAGGGTTAAGGGTAAGGGTGAAGTAACCGGCTTTCACTTGCTCCCTTAACGGCCTGCCCAAACACTTAATGGAAACGACCCTCCCCCTCCCCCCTCCCCCCCCACACACACAAACGGACCCAAACCGGCCTTCTAATGGTGACAACTCAAGGCAATCTATTACACGTAATTCCCCGGCTTAATGTGACGGGAAAACGGTCATTTGAGTGTAATGTCTCTGTGGCTATGAGACCTGAGTAGCCCCTTATTGATCTTTGGTGTCCTAATGATCATTTACTATGCATGTAAGTACTTTGGTGCTAATAAAACATGCTCGCCAGGTCTTCCCGATCACTTGGAAATAATTAATTGTCTCTAATACAAAGGTCAGTCTTCTTGCATGAGTCAAGAGGAACTATTGCAATTAATTAGACTTGTTTAATAATCCATATGATATAAAACATTTAATATAAATCGATGTGATGTTTCAGAGGTCACTCGTTCAGCAGAAGCCATTTAAAAGAGGATAGGATATTCACATAGCATTATATTATATAATATTCACTTCCAAATATATTTTCCTCGCATGACTTCTTTTTAAAATATATAAAAAGGTAACAACTAACTTCACGCCCCATCGTGACAGAGAAAAAAACATCAATTATATGCACTTCTGTTACTGGGTCAAAAAGTTAAGAAACTGTGTATTTACTTGTGGTCCCTGAAGTATTTTTTTTACTGAATTTGCTAGAGTGTTGTGTCTAAGACTGTTTGACTGGTGCTGAAGTCTAAACTACACTCACGCAAACGAAATAAAAAGAAAAAGAAAAGAAAAAAAAAGATGAAGAATTCGGTGTTTGCACGAAAAGCTTTGGTCATCATAAGATTTGTTGTCACAGTAACACTGCAATAATACCTTTAGTAAAATACACATAAACTTCAGCACAAATAAACAGACAAAAAACGCATATACATAAATAAACATCCACACAAACACTCACGCAATCTCCTCTTTTTCTCTTTCTCACTTTCTCTCTCTCTCTCTCTCTCTCTCTCTCTCTCTCTCTCTTTCTCTCTTTCTCTCTTTCTCTCTTTCTCTCTTTCTCTCTTTCTCTCTTTCCCTCTTTCCCTCTTTCCCTCTTTCCCTCTTTCTCTCTTTCTCTCTTTCTCTCTTTCTCTCTTTCTCTCTTTCTCTCTTTCTCTCTCTCTCTCTCTCTCTCTCTCTCTCTCTCTCTCTCTCTCTCTCTCTCTCTCTCTCTCTCTCTCTCTCACACACACACACACACACACACACACACACACATACACACACACACACACACACACACACACACACACACACACACACACACACACACACACACACATCGATTTGACTCCGCTCAGCCCTCTGTTTGATCAACGAACTTGAAATCAAACATTTTATCCGCATGAACGCCGGAGCAGCGGCGTCCAATCTGGTTATGGGAGGAATGAACGAAATGAAATGGGAGGAGATTTCAAAGCTTCCTTTTTTATTATTTCGGATTCAGACAATCAAGATCGGAAGATAACTTGAATGCAAGGATACGAACACTCATTAAAAAAAAAAAAAAATCTGGTTTACACACATAACGTACAGACACAGCTAAAGTATACACGAAAGGTAATATATTTTCTGCCTCCTACAAATTACGACTTGATTCAGTGTGTGACTGGTTGTTACGTGTTATAAAAGCTTTTCCAAGATCCACTCAAATACAATGTGATACATAAAAAAAGACGAACTTGTTCAAATATCGGAGTGGTAATGTGTATCACAATAATATAACATGAAAACAGAAGAAAGAGAATGTTCAGAAAATTAGTTTTTTTTTTCAGCGAAAGAAGAAACTTAGGTAAAAGAACGCCGTGAAAGTATAAAACTCAACATTGATTTAAAACAACAACAGCAACAACAACTGCAATACCGACGTCGAGGCACCAACCTTTAACCGAGCAAATGCAGCACTTCTCGTGGCCTGTTCCTTGAGAAATTATATTGTCTTAATACGCTTAATATGGCAGCGCGTGTCTGCAATTTCACGCTGAATTTCTGCAACGTTACGTAATGGTCTCACGTGATACGGCTATGTACCGATTGCAAACAGAAACACCACGGCTCCTGGAGACCATCGGATGCAATGAATAACCCCATTTATTTATCCAATAGTCTAGTATTTCATGGCGTTATATTTATATTTGTTAATCATTACACGCTGTATATTTTATTTATATCTGTATCAAAATATAAAACTTCTTAAAAAAAAAACTTTTTGGGGATAATAATACCTGCATCTTTTCTTAATATCTACGTTAAATTTTGGGAAATTCGAAAGTTTTCAAGCTTTGGGATAGCAATGAATTCAATAAATGTATAAGGTATTTCTAGATTATATTCATTCATCAACTAGGATTGTAAATTTTCCCAATTTATTGTTCTAAGCTCGATGATATATATACCTTCTCACAAACCATATCAATCAATGTTCAATGTACAAAAAAGATCTTTGAAAATACTTGTAAGAAAAAATACACTCTATTCACAGTAACACTTTTAACACACGATTCATCCATGATCTCAAGCTGTGTGGTTCGAAATAACGAGGCCTGTAACACGGTTCTAAATCTGTCTTCCTTTACCGAGCTCTCTGTTCA